GTGGTCACATACACCAGGAGTGGGGCTCTGGGAGCAGGAGCAGGAGGGTAGGGTTAGGAGTAAATGAACCAGATGCCTGGCCTGACCCTTGTTTTGGTGTTGGGAATGCTACTGTTTGTCATTCAGTCCTTCAGGTTTTGAAGGATCTTAGCTTTAGAGTCACCATTTGAACTCAGTTATTCTATATAGGCCAGCACTTTAGTTCTCCCACAGAGGGAAGGAAAGAGCAGATGGGATGCAAGGACCTGGGACCAAGACATAGAGAGGAGATCCAGGACCAAGGAAGGAGGCAGGAGAATCTAAGGTGAGGGAAGAAAAGCAGCTGAGTTTAGAATTTGCCTGAGCAACATCACTTTCTACTACGAAATAAATGAGTTGAATACGCTTAGGATCCTTAATATTCCTGAAATCATTTTCTAGCTTCATTTCCCCAGGATTAATGATTTGAGTTTCTCCTCAGAGGATCTGCTTCTTTTTTCCTTCGAGGCTTATTTCTGCCATTCCCCTAACAAAGCCCAGTTCAAAACTGAGAGGCTGTGCTCTGACGACAGATTCTGGAGCAGAGTGTGAGGCTCCTGTGCCTTAAAACTGAGCCAGGTCTAGAGGTGGCTCTGAAAGCTGCAGTTGCAGAGACATGGCCCACACGGAACATCGTTGGGCCTGACGCTTACAGCTGCCGCTTCAGAGCATCTGTACGGATGGAGGCCTGAGCATTGGCCTGAGGTCAGGGCTTCTGAATGCAGTTGTAGAGATACGTGTGGGTTAGAGCTTCTGGCCTGTGACTCAGGCGTCTCATCTAATGGGTTGGGATGTTGTGTGTACCAAAAATGTTTGATGGTTTCATGCATTCACATTTGCCATTTGGTTTCCTAATCTGGGGAGGGATTTCTTTAGTTTATGGTTTAATTTTAACAAGACATTTGGAAAAGATTAAAAATGAGAAACTAATCCCCTTGTCATTGGCAGTTAAGTGAAGATGATCTCTTCCCTTGAGAATGCTGGCTCAGGGACACATAGCTGAGGGTTCAAACTCCTCCAGAAGTTCAGAGGAACCCTGAGGGACAGAGTAGTTGAGCCTGACATCATTTAGCAAAGAATTTCTCTGGACTCTGTTCACTGAAAACATGGGCAGGCATGAAAGGGGTGGGAAATAGCTCCAGCATGCAATGTCTTTGTGTGGCTCATGGGGAGACAAAATGTGTACATGTTAGCCATGGGCAAAGGCAAGGCAAGGCTGTTTAACATTTACAAACAAGGATTTTGTTTACTTGAGGCTCACATGACCTGAGTTGATTGGGATTTTGAAGAGAAAGAGATGAGTGGGAGGAGAAACAGTTGGAGTAGACCCTCAAAGCCACAGCTAGAAGGGAGGGGTAGGTGTAGCCAATAAGGGGAGGCCCAAACAAACCAGCTCCCATCCCTCTGAGACATAGCTACAGACCATAGGAGTCAAAGGGAAAAGCTTCTAGGCTCTCCAAATCCAACCCCTCACCCTCTAAGAGAAAACTAAAGACCAGGTGGATGTAGGGCAGTCCCCAAGGTCACAGGCATAGAGTCGAGTCTGCTGAACTATTGCTCATTTCCATGGCAACATGGTTTTGCTGCTGTGTATATTGGGGTAATTGTGGGAAATAAGGTTAGATGGTGGTGTTATTAAAAAAAATTCCTGTCCACAGATTCTTCAGTACTGTACAGTTTCTTTGAAGAGGTAGAGCTTGGTTCCTCTTCCATTAAATGAGGCTTGACATAATGATTTGCTTCTAGTGAATAAGATGGAAGTGATGATATATGATTCAGAGGCTAGGTCATAAAAAGGCATTGTGTCTTTGGTTCCATTTGCTTTCTATCTCTTTCTTCTTTCTCATTCTCCCTGGCCCCCCCATCACTTGCTTTAGAGAAGTGAGTTGCAGCTATCATGTTGTGAAGATACTCAAACAGCCTATAAAGGGAGCCATGAAGAATGAAGGAAGGGACAGAGACCTCTTGCCAATAGCCATTTGAGTGAGTCATTTTGGAAACAGATCCTCCAGCCTCAGTCAGGCCTTCAGAGGACTGCAGCCTGGCTGACCTCCTGATTGCAACCTCAGGAAAAAGAGAACCAGAACCTGTCTATCTAAGCTGCTCCCAGATTCCTGAATCTCAGAAAAACTGTGGGAGAAAATAAATGTTTGTTTTTTAGGCTGCCAGGTTTTGGGGTAATTTGTTATGCAGCAGTAGACGTCTGGTACAGATAGTGAAAGGGAAGGGGAAGGTAAGGTAGAAGCGTAGAAGCCAGCCTGCAGGGTTTAGATTTGATCTATAGGGAGATACTAGTTTTGAGTAAGACATTTTAGGAAGGTTAGGCAATTAGCAAGGTTACAAGTAGTTTGAAAGGAAAAAAAATTACACTGAAGAACTGCATTTGAATCTCCTAATGATATTTTTTCAATCAGCATTGAACAGACAGCTTGGATGGTTGTTTAGTTCTTCGCTTTTCCTTCTCAAGAAAGGCAGCATAGAAGAGCATATTGCTTATGGAGAGGCAGTTCAGAGAGTACTGGATATGAAGATGAGCTCTAGGGGGCAGGAAGCTTGGTCCTAATCATGGCCCCTTACTCTGTTTTCTCATCTTTAAAAGGGGGGAAAAAATAAATAGTACCTAATTCATAGTTTTTAAAAAGTGAAAATTGAAGGGCTGATTATTATAAAGCACCTAAGAATAATGCCTATACTTTATAAACACTATCTGTGTTTACTACACAAACTTTACACATCTTTTAGTTTCATTTTAAATTGACAAGTAAAAATTGTATATATTTATGTTGTACAACATGATGTTTTGATCTATATATACATGGTAAAATGGCTAAATCAAACTATTTTACATATGCCTCACCTTACATACTAATTTTTTTGTGTGGTGAGAGCACTGAAAATCTCTCTAAGCATTTTTCAAGTACACAATAAGTTATTAACTCTTGTCAACATTGATGTACAATAGATCTCTTGAAATTTCTACTGTCTAACAAAAATTTTGTATCCTTTGACCAGCATCATCTTAGTCGCCCCAAACCCAGACTCTGGTAATCACAACTTTTCTCTCCCTTTCTGTGAGTTTGACTTTTTTTTTTTTTTTTTTTAAGATTCTACATTTAGGTGAAATCATGTGGTATTTGTCTTTCTGTGCTTGACTGACTTAATGTTCTGCAGGTGTATCTAGGTTGTTGCGTATGACAGCATTTCCTTCTTTTTTAAGGCTGAATAGTATTCCACTGTATATCTGTTGCACATTTTCTTTATCCATTCATCTGCCGATGAACACTTAGGTTGATTCCATGCCTTGGCTATTGTGAATGGTGCTGCAATGAACATAGAAGTATAGATATCTCTGACATACAAATTTCATTTCCTTTGGATATATATTTGGTGTGGGATTGTTACAATTTTTGAAGTTTTGAGTCCTACAGCTTTAGTCTTCTAAGAAACTGCAAGGGTTGACATTATGGGCTGAATTGTGCCTGACCTCCTACAACAAATTTACATGTTGAAGCTTTAAAAGTTTTAATCTCCAGTACCTCAGAATGTGACTGTATTTGGAGATGAGGACTGGGAGAGGTAATTATAGTAAAATGAGGTCATATGAGTAGGCCCTCATTCATTATGACCAATGTTCTTGTAGGAAGAGGAACTTAGGACAAAGAGACACACAGAAAGGAGACAGTGTGAAGACACTGGAGGAACATGCCATCCAGCCTCTTCTCCAAGCCATGGAGAGAGGCCTCAGACAAAACAAACTATACTACCTCGATCTTGGACTTCTAGCCTCTGGAATTATGAGAAAAGAAATTTCTATTGTTTAAGCCACTTAGGCTGTGGCACTTTGTTATGGAAGTCTTAGCATACTGGTACAAGTGTTTTATCTCCCTGGTCTCACTATTAAGCAGTCCCCAGGTCCCTCTCCTCCCCATGAAAGACCAAGATACTCACAGAAATGACTGCCTGCCTTTTAGAACCATGGCTTCTACTGGGTAGTGGTTCTTAACTAGAGTCTATGGATGAATATAACCTTTTTTTTGGTGTATACTATTTCTTCATTTTTTTTTTTTTTTTTTTCTGGTGAGAGAGTCCAGAGCTTTTTCAAGATTCTCATAGGGGTTAATTACTTTTCCAAAAGTTTGGACCTGCTATTTTAGACTCTGTCTTATCATTCTAGACCTTTCAGCCTTGCCTCCAGCTGCACATAGAATGTACCTTGGCACTAGGACCATCCCTGCAGCTGAAATAGTCAGTTAATGCATTTCCTAATGCATAAACTGGAAAGCCCCAGTTTAAGCGTGGGGCTTTCCTCATGATCTGGAAAATATGTGAAATCCTAGAGAACAAAGTGAAGGCATTTATTCAGCGGTAAGTTAAGACATGGCATTAGGTAGAGGGAAATGTAAGGATGTGTAAGGTAATATTTCTAACTTCACATTTTGAGAAGTTTCAAATCTAGACATTTTCTTTCATGACTCATGGTGGGTCATGGCTCTTTTTGGCTGAGGCTAGACAGAAAGCTCTAATGTTCCTGACCCTCTGATCTGTCATGAGCTTGCCAAGCCTACAGCCTTCCTTTGGGTCTATGGAGCCCCACCCTTCCACAGGAGTATCTTGGGATAAGCAGCGTCATTACTGTGGCTCATCTCAGGGAAAGGCTAAAAGACAAAAGAGAAAAAAATTTCTGACAATACCAAGTAGGGTGAGGATGTGGATCAACCAGAACTCTCATATATTGCTGGTAGAAATGTAAAATTATGCAGCCACTTTGAAAAAACAGCTTGGTGGTTTCTTATAAAATTAAACATACACTGACAATATGAACCATCAATCTCACTCCTGTTTGTCCAAAAGAAATAAAAACAGATTTACATTAAACTTGTATGCAAATGTTTAGAGAAGCTTTTTTTTATAATCACCCCAGATGCAAAATCATCTAAATATTCTTTAACTTGCGAATGGATAAACTGTGGTACATTCATGCAATAGAATACTACTCTGCAATAAAAAAATGAACTAGTCATATGTAAAACAGCTTGAATGAATCTTTACTGCTTTGTGTCACACGAAAGCAGCCAGACTCAACTTCACATTGAATAATTCTATGTACATGGCATTCTAGAGCAGGCAAAATTATAGAGACAGAGCATGGCTTGAGAGTGAGGGGAGGATTAGACTAGAAGGGGAAATCCTGAGGGAGCTTTTTAGGAGTGAAGGAAATGTCCTGTATCCTGATGGTGGTGGTGACTTCCTGTCTTTAAGCATTTGCCAAAGCTTACAGAACTGTACACTAAAAAGAGCTAATTTTGCTGCATGTAAATTTTAAAAATAAATTCTAAAGAAATAAAAAAGGAAAGAAAAGTGGAGCAGAGTTTATTTCAGAGCCAAGACAAGGAGCTGAAGGTCACTAGGGATGCTCTACTGACTACTGAATGTTCCACTGGCCTTAGCCAAATTTGTGGGAAGGCAGTGGGAAGAACAAGGTGCACTCTTCAGGGTGAAGCCTAAAGTTTTGACTCATGAAACTAGAAATAGGGATAAGTCCCGGGAAAGAGTTGTGCTGAAGTTGACAAATTAGTCTTCAGAATGAAGTTGGGGACAGGCATTTTGGTGTTGCCTTTTTGAGAACGAATTATGCAGATGAGCCTTCGTGGTATTTGGCCAAGAGATCCAAACAGCTGCTGGGTGATTTCTAAAGCTTGGGCTCTTCTCTTTTCTTTTGTTTTTAGATGGAGTTTCACTCTTGTTGCTCAGGCCAGAGTGCAGTGGCACTGTCTTAGCTCACCGCAACCTCTGCCTCCCAGGCTCAAGCAATTCTCCTGCTTCAGCCTCTCGAGTAGCTGGGATCACAGGCATGTGCCACCATGCCTGGCTTATTTTTTGTATTTTTAGTAGAGACAGGGTTTCTCCATGTTGGTCAGGCTGGTCTTGAACTCCTGATCTCAGGTGATCCACCTGCCTCAGCTTCCCAAAGTGCTGGGATTACAGGCGTGAGCCACTGTGCACTGCATAGCTTGAACTCTTCATGTCTGTCTTCTCTGCTAGCAATTCGGTGAGTAAAGGCTGTATCTGTCAAGGGAAGCCAACCTTTGGAGCAACCAGGCTTTATAGCAGTAGTCTTTATGTGTTTATAAAGGAATCAATGAATTCTGCTTTTTACCCCAAATATCAGGCAGGTAGGGAACATGGTGGAGAGAACCAAAGGTTTAGCTTATCTGGATTACAATAGGCTGTGTTACCTTAATGGGGTCACTTACCTTCTCTCTGCCTCCGTTTCCTCCTGGGGGACATAAAGTTTTTGTGAGAATCAGAGATGAGGTAGAATAAACTGAGAATGAACTCATTGCTCCTCCCGCACCATGCAGACATCTGAGATGGCAGGGAGTTATCCTCAGCCAGTGTGTATCGGGAGCAGATTGAGAACAAAGCCACACTCACAAGAGGAATAGCTTTTTTTTTTTTTTAATAGGGCTAAGATAGGGGTGAGTGGTGCCTCCAGAAAATACAATGCCCACCATAGTGCAGAGGCATGCTTGTTAAGGTAACTAACTAGTGAGATCATTGTAGCTCTTTACAGTGGGGTGTTGGATGGGAATGAGAGCCCCTGTTATCCCTTCATTCTTAGGAGCTGGGTCTACTCATTTGATTTCGGGTTTAGCAAAACTTGGGCAGAGGCAGCACCTCCATTTGTTTGCTGACAAAGCTTAAGAGCTAGAGTCTGGAAATCCCTGTCTTGTATTGGAGGGCTGGAGGCTCCCTGTATACTGATGCAGAAATTGAGGGAGTGAACTAATGGTTTATGAGACCAAGAGACAGGTCAGGCTCTGTGTGTGTGTGTGTGTGTGTGTGTGTGTGTGTGTGTGTGTGTCTGTGTGTGTGTGTGTCTGTGTGTGTGTGTGTCTGTGTGTGTGTGTGTGTCCGTCCCCGTCCATCGATCCATCTGTCTGTCCATCTGTCTGTCCGAGACCCTTTCTGGAGCAGAGTGTTTTTAACCTCTGCATCTGTCTTCAAGCTCTTTTTCCTTTGTGAGGTGTAAGGGAACTAACAAGCTAGAAAAAAGGACATCCTCTGTTCCTTTTACACTGACCTGCTCAGCATAGTGGTATGAGTGATCCTTCATCTCCGTTTGCACCCTTCCATCACAGATCCATGGTGTGCTGGGTCTGATGAAGATGAATTAGGCAGAGGTACCTAGTGACAACGACTGGAACATTTATGTGTTCATCATGATCATCATAGTTAAGGTTTACTGCATACTTACTCATGATTTAAATTTGTAGTTAATCCTCACATGCACCCCAGGTTTGTACTTTTATTTGAGAAGATAAGTGCCTTGGCTTTGGTCACATGGTGAAATCTACGCTATTTGGACCTAGATCTCATGCTTGGATCACGATCCTGTACACAGGGCACCCCTGGGCACGCCTTGCCCCGCATGGGAAGCCACAAAATCTAAGATAGGTGCTCATAGGTTATCAAGGAAACTCCTTTGGCTTTGAGGCCAATGAGATGGCTGTAACAATAATTCATGGCCTAGAAGGGTACCTAGCACAGCATCGGTGCTACTAGGATCAGTATGGCCAGCTCTGTGCTTCAGAGATGCAGTGATGTGGCCTTTACTCCCTGTATTATTTTTGGGTTTTCTCTATGGCTATAGCATAACGAATTGCACTTTGGTTAGTTTATGACAATATAGATGAACTTTTCATCAAAATGAATTGACTCAAGGAGTTGAACAAAATGAGATTTGGCTTGATATTGGCGATTAGTGCTAGGGACTGAATGTATACATCCCTCCCCTCCCAAATTCATAATTTGAAGCTCTAATTCCAGTGTGATGGTATTTGGAGGTAGGGTCTTTAGGAGATGATTAGGTTGTGAGGGCAAAGCCCTCATGAATGGGATTAGTACCCTGTAAAATAGATCTCAGAGAAATTCCTCAATCCTTCAGTCATGTGAGGACACAGTGAGCAGATGGCCCTATATGAACCAGAAAGTAAGTCCTTACCAGGCACCTAATTTACCAGTGTCTTGACCTGGACCTCCCAGCTTACAGACTGTAAGAAATAAATTTCTGTTGTTTATAAGCCATCCTGTCTGTGTTATTCTGTTATGGCAACTGAACAGACTAAAACAGTTAGATGATGTAGTAATTCCACACTCAACTGTAATAATTAGTAATAATAGAATAAATTATCTAGGAATACAGCTAACCAGGGAGATGAAAGAGCTCTACAAGAATTATAAAACACTGCTCAAAGAAATGAGATATGATAAAAACAAATGGGAAAACATTCCATGCTCATAGATAAGAACAATCAATATTGTTAAAATGGTCATACTCCTCAAAGTAATTTATAGATTTAATACTCTTCCTATCAAACTACCAATGACATTCTTTATAGAATTAGAAAAAAACTATTTTAAAATTCATTATGGAACCAAAAAGAGCCTGAATAGCCAAGGCAGTCCTAAGCAAAAAGAACAAAGCTGGAAGTATCATGTTACCCAACTTTATACTATAATACAAGGCTACAGTAACCAAGACAGCATGATACAAAAACAGACACATAGATCAGTGGAACGGGATAGAGAGCCCAGAAATAATGTTACACACCTACAACTATCTGATCTTCTACAAAGTGGACAAAAACGAGCAACAGGGAAAGAACTCCCTATTCAATAAATGGTGCTGGGATACCTGGCTAGCCATGTGCAGAAGATTGAGACTGGACCTCTTCCTCACACCATATACAAAAATCAGCTGAATATGGATTAAAGATTTAAGTGTAGAACTTAAAACTATAAAAATCCTGGAAGATAACCTAGGAAGTACCATTCTGGATATAAGACTTGGCAAAGATTTCCTGACAAGCCAAAAACAATTGCAATAAAAACAAAAATTGTCGAACTGGACCTAATTAAAGAGCTTCTGCAGAGCAAAAGAAACTATCAATAGAGTAAACAGAAAACATACAGAATGGGAGGTGTAATATTCAGAGTATAAAGGAACTTAACAAGCCAAAAACAACCCCCATTAAAAAGTGGGCAAAGGATAGAAACAGATACTTTTCAGAAGAAGACCGAGCGAGGGCCAACAAGCACATGATAAAATGCTCACTATCACTCATCATTAGAGAAATTCAAAACAATAATGAGGTACTATCTCACTCCAGTCAGGTCCTCTATTATTAAAAAGTCAAAAAATAAAAGATTTTGGTGAGGTTGTGGATAAAAGGGAACACTTACACTGCTAATGGAAATGTAAACTAGTTTAGCCACTGTGGAAAGCAGTTTGGTACTTTCTCAAAGAACTAAAAGCAGAACTACCATTGGACTCAGCAATCCTGTTATTGGGTATATACCCAAAAGAAGAGAAATCATTCTACCATAAAGACACATGCATGTGTATGTTCATCGCAGCACTATGCACAACAGCAAAGATGTGGAATCAATCTTCCTGCTCATCAATAGACTGAATAAAGAAAATGTGGCGCATATATACTCTGGAACACTATGCAGCCATAAAAAGGAATGAGAACATGTCCTTTGCAGAAATGTGGATGGAGCCAGAGGCCTTAATCCTAAGCAAACTCACACTGGGACATAAAATCAAATACCTTATGTTCTCACTTATAAGTGAGACCTAAACGTTGAGTACACAAGGACACAAATGAGGGCCTGCTTGTGGGTGCAGGAAGGGAGGAGGGTAAGGATTGATAAATTAGTGTCATGTGCTATGCTTATTACTTGGGTGGCAAAATAATCTGTACACCAAACCCCTGTGACGTACAATTTACCTATATAACAGACCTGAACATGTACCCCTGAAACTGAAAGTTAAAAAAAAATTGTATGTGTACACACACACACACACACTCTCTCTCTCTCTCTCTCTCTCTCTCTCTCTCTCTCTCTCTCTCTCTCTCTCTCTCTGAAATATTCAGCCCTAAAAAACAAGATTCGGTCATTTAGAAAAACATGGATAAACCTGGAGGACATTATGCTAAGTGAAATCAGCCAGAAACAGATATAAAAATACTGTGTGACTGCACTTACAGGTGAGATCCAAACAAAAAGCTTAATGTGTAGAAATAGACTTGAACAGTGGTTACCATGGGCAGCAGGGAAGGGGATGGGGAGACTAAGGTTAAAGCATATGAAGCTGCAGTTATGTAGGATAAAGAAGTCTAGGGAGACAAAGTACAGCATGCGGGCCATACTTAGTGTTGTATTGCACACTGGAAATTTGTTAAGAGAGTAGATTTTTTAGATATCTTAACACAAAAATAACTGTGAGACAACAGACATGTTAATTTGCTTCATCATAAGGATTTCACTATGTAGATGTATATCAAAACATGTAAAAAAAAAAAAAAGTTCTGAGGCGCCTTGGGTCTCCCTACATAGAAAGACATGTTTGTTTCTTAAGTCACACTGAGCATTACATTTCTTGGCAACTGTCCTCCTTCTACCTATGCACCCACTTTGTGCCTGGTGTGTGCAGAGCAGTGAGCTTGTAGGGCACAGTCCATGCCTTTGGGAAGATGCTGGAGGCAAACCGTGAAGAGTGTAGCATGGATATGAGGCAGAATGTGATCAGACTTTGGGTGAACAGTAGGAAATGTAAACTGAGGTCTGGTGGCCAATCCAAGGCCTTCTCTTCCCAGCTTGGCCTCAAGTGCCAGTGTGGACAGCTGGTCACTACCACTCTATTACCTTCAGAGCTGTGAGGATGGAAGTCCTATTGTGTGGTTTCTGAGAGTCTGTGGTTTCTGGATCTGTTGCCTCTGTAGCTTAAGGTAGAGTCCAAGTGTGAGCCAGTTCTCCTGATGGGCCAATACAGAGATGTAAATCCTTTTCTCTGAACTTATTGGCGAGTGTTACACACCAAGAACTCTCTATCTGTCTCGGGGCTGCTTTACTAATACTACATTAATCAAGCCATTAAGGACTATGATTTCTAATATTCAAAACATAATGATATAAGAATTGTTGTTGCCATACATTTGACATTTTGCAAAGTTCTCACTGGGCCTGCCAGATCAGAGCTATAGTCTCTGCCAGAAAAAAAAGAAACCAAACCACTCCTACCGCCACCACTGCCAGCAACAAAACTCCAAAGTGCATGCTTGCTCTATTGCTGCAGGACACTCTTTTTAAAATAAGAAGAAAGGCCTTAATGTAGCTTCACCTTCAAAATCTGGAGATGTGGGTCTGATTGTCTATAGACTCTATTCTTGAGATGGAACATTTGAAACTCTTCACAAACTAGTTGACTTTGCCCCGATTTAAATTCTGTCATTTTGTGATCTCACACTTCATCATGCCCTACCTTCTTCATGCTTTGCTGAAGCTATAATCTCCCTGTGGGCATGTCTATCTCTTAATACACATGCCTGAATGTGTACACACACACATCCACATGCCTCCTGACTCTGGGGAGCTTGACTATGTGGTGACAACACATGTTTAAAGATTTAATGTAGCCTCTTATGGTTCTCTTGCATAGCTTTTACATCTGTGTAAACTTTTGGGTTCAGGAAAGCTGGGTTTTTCTGAGTTCCATCATGCAATTGGACAAACCCTTACATCTTTGTTTTCTGTAAAATGAAAATAATCCCTTTCATCAGGTGAAGTTTACTATTTGTGGGAATTTGCAGATAAAAGAATTAGTTTAATGGAATGAGTGTTGTGTAACTTTCCCGAAGAACTGAATGCTTTCTTGCCATTGTTTCTGATTTTTCTGTGTGTGCATGTTTTAGGTGTTTGTGTGAAAGAGACATAATGTGGAATGTATGTTGTTTCATGCTTTCCCATGAGCTCGGCCAAATGCACTTTGTGTGATATTTACATTTTATTCTGTGTAGTATAGAAAACACTGACCGTTGGGTCAGTGACACATTTCCAACAAGCAACAGCTCTGGGAGAAACATTTTGTTGGGAATGCACAAGATTGTACAGGAGGGCTCTAAAATTGGATTAGTCCATACAGTACATTGTGTACTTTGCAAACAGAGTAAGACAGATGTTTGGCTCAATTTCATTTAAAAGATATTTTCCTCAGATCTATACACTGAATCATATGACATTGTTTTTTTCATAACTCTCTTCCCCCATGTGTTATCCATTATGGATTGAGAAGACTGAAAGCACCTAAGCCAGCATGAATCAGCAAAATTTATATGCAGATCATACTCCCACTCAGTGGGGCTTCCCCCAGTCTGTCCTGACCATCATACCGAAGATGGCCTTTCAGAATTTGGAACTAGATTCTGATACTCTTAGATGTAAATTCTAGGCCATCAAACTGTATCCCTTGGCTCTTCCTTTTGGGCCTGCTTTTTAGTTAGAATCTCACTCTGGGAAGCATTCACTTATTTAGTAGAAAAAGACACTTTTTAAAAGTTGTACTTCAGGTTCTGGGGTACATGAGCAGATCATGCAGGGTTGTTGCATAGATACTTACATAGCAAGGTGGTTTCACTTTTAAAAAAGTTTGAGAGAAATTATTTATCATTACTCAGATAATATTTGTGCATCTTATATGGACTAGGCACTGTGCTGGGTACAAAGAATATAAAGGTGAACAAGAAGAATCTTTGTTCTAGATGTGTGGCTAACTGATGGGTGTAGGAAAGGCTGATTGAGAAGGTGACATTTGAGTTGGGTCTTGAAGGGTTGAGGAGTGTTTCACTAATTCCAACCTTATAGATAGAAGCTAAAGATTATCTTGCTTCACTGCAGATAGAATAAATTGATGTCCCCAAATCTAACTTATTTGGCAGAGGGTAAAACATAAGGTTTATTGGTTAGTTACAAGGCAGTCAGTGGTCAAATATAAACTACTCTCTGTGTTACAGTTAGAAGCAAAAATTGATAGGACATGGTGTTTGTTTTCCTATCTAAGAATTTCCCCAAAATAGGGCAATAAAGAAGTCATAAGTTTCAGGGCCCATTAAATCTTCTAGCAGACTGTTTCACAATTCAGGCAGCTCTCAATTTACACAGTTCGGATATGTGTGGATTTCAGTTACCACAGTTCGCTTAAATAACACTAGTCCCTAACAGCATGGTTCAAATTTCAGTTACCGTGGTATATTAACTGTGAGTGATTGCATGAAGCACAGACTTTGCTGGCTGCCTTTGAAGGACAAAAATCACTATATCAGTGACAGATGCCCTTCATGATCCGTCACCAATCTGTTTTATTCATGTCACTAGTAATAAATTCATGTGACATTTTATAAAAATGAATTTTAGAAATGGAAATTGGCTTGGCTATGTGGGCTCTCTTTTGGTTCCATATGAAGTTTAAGGTTTTTTTTTCCAGCTCTGTGAAGGTCATTGGTAGCTTGATGGGGATAGCATTGAACCTGTAAATTACTTTGGGCAGTATGGCCATTTTCACGATATTGATTCTTCCTAACCATGAACATGGAATGTTTCTCCATCTGTTTGTGTCCTCTCTTATTTCGTTGAGCAGTGGCTTGTAGTTCTCCTTGAAGAGGTCCTTTACGTTCCTTGTTAGTTGTATTCCTAGGTATTTTATTCTCTTTGTGGCAATTGTGAATGGAAGTTTGTTATTGATTTGGCCCTCTTTAAGTCTGTTATTGGTGTATAGGAATGCATGTGATTTTTGCACATTGATTTTGTATCCTGAGACTTTGCTGAAGTTGCTTATCAGTTTCAGGAGATTTGGGGCTGAGACACTGGGGTCTTCTAGATATACAATCATGTCATCTGCAAATAGAGACAATTTGACTTCCTCCTTTCCCATTTGAATACCCTTTATTTCTTTTTCTTGCCTGATTGCTCTGGCTAGAACTTCTAGTATTATATTGAATAGGAGTGGTGAGAGAGGGCATCCTTGTCTAGTGCCACATTTCAAGGGGAGTGCTTCCAGTTTTTGCCCATTCAGTATGATATTGGCTGTTGGTTTGTCATAAATAGCTTTTATTATTTTGAGATACGTTCCGTCAATACCTAGCTTATTGAGGGTTTTTAGCATAAAGGGCTGTTGAATTTTGTCAAAGGCCTTTTCTGCATCAATTGAGATAATCATGTGGTTTTTGTCTTTGGTTCTGTTTATATGGTGAATTACGTTTATAGACTTGCGTATATTGAACCAGCCTTGCATCCCTGGGATGAAGCCTACTTGATCATGGTGGATAAGCTTTTTGATGTGCTGTTGCAATCAGCTTGTCAGTATTTTATTGAAGATTTTTGCATCTATGTTCATCATGGATATTGGCCTGAAGTTTTCTTTTCTTGTTGAGTCTCTGCCGGGTTTTGGAATCAGGATGATGTTGGTCTCATAAAATGATTTGGGAATAATTACCTCTTTTTGTATTGTTTGAAATAGTTTCAGAAGGAATGGTACCAGCTCCTCTTTGTATGTCTGGTAGAATTTGGCTGTAAACCCGTCTGGACCTGGGCTTTTTTTGGGTGGTAAGCTCTTAATTGCTGCCTCAACTTCAGACCTTGTTATGGATCTGTTCAGGGTTTCGGCTTCTTCCTGGTTTAGGCTTGGGAGGAGGCAAGTGTCCAGGAATTTATCCATTTCTTCCAGGTTTACTAGTTTATGTGCATAGAGTTGTTTGTAATAATCTCTGATGATGGTTTGAATTTCTGTGGAATCTGTGGTGATATCCCCTTGATCATTTTTTATTGCATCAATTTGGTTATTCTCTCTTTTCTTTTTTATTAAT